ACCCGACTCACTGGGCACTCAGCGGCACAGTTCCGACTCACTGAAACTAGGGACTTTCTACACTGGCTCTGGCACCGCTCATCTCAAGCATCAACAGCCGTCTCAGCGGGATCGACCTCCGGTCTTGGGAGGGAGTGATGTGGCGACACATGTCACAAGTCAACGGATGACGTCATAAAATCCTACATCGCACATGCGAAGTTTACATTCGATTTAACACGGATAGAAAATCCCAACGAGCAACTGTTGGGCAGAAAGCCCGCCAGGCACGATCACCTCGCCTGGTCGGAGGATCCTCCTTTTCCGATATTAGGGAACTATACTCTCTGTTCCCTAAACCTTCAATAGTTTTCATCAGCAATAAAGGACTAATGCCCGTAGTCACTGTTTCTTAAATATAATTCCTGAATAGGTGACACTTAACGATTCGGTTTTCACCAACCTATTAGTGACACCTATCAGTACAAGTAAAGGGATAGTTAAGTGTTACGTAACTCTAAATAACTATTATGTAGGTAATTAAAAGGTAGTTTAACATTTATATATATATATAGAGATATAAGAGTGAAATTTGTTATATTAGATTCATATTTAGCAATATCAGAAACATTGGATCTAATTCTCGGTGATACGTCTAAGAGCTTAGTACGAGGTTATTTTAAGTTTGAAGTAATCGAAATGAGACCGCGTTCCGCACTCTGATTGGCCAATCAGAGTCTGGCCAGCTCCAATGAACCAACCAATCAGAGCGACGAACGCGGTCTCGGATCGATTACTTTAAACATAAAATAAACTGGTACGAAGGCTTTGTACTAAGGTATCCCAAAATGACCGAAAATAGCCTACCTACAGCTAGACATATTAATCTAGAATCTGGAATCTGTTTTCCCTAAAAAATTGCGTCCCGCCCACGAGATCTCTCGCGTGGGTTTCGCCCATACTTGCGTAGGAGACCGCTTATGTTACCCGTCGATAATGTAGCTATCTAAAGGTCAAATTATTTTTAAAATTGATATTGACGCGTAATTACAATTAATTTTACGACAACAAGCTGAAATTGTAATTAAATGATCTATTTATCAGATTTGAGGAATCATCAATCAAGGAATGAAAACTAAATGCGTTTTATAAAGTTCTGTATTGATTAGTAAAGTAACCATGAACCGCACTTAAAACAAAATCACCACATAACATCAAACATTCGTTACATTTATCAGAAACCAAATTACAGTACAAATTCCCAGCATTAACCGTGTCCAAACGAACCGCATTCCCTGGCAAATATCTTGTCGATGTCTTCGCGACAATCCATCAATTTACTGACGGGGAGCATAACGCTAATGGCTTCACTGAGAAAACGATCATGATACTCGTTTTTTTTGCTCAGTCGCTTGAAAGATGCGAAAGATTATGTAGGATAAGAAATTGAGAACATTTGAATGAAGGTTTTTCAAGAAACTTGTCAAAAAACGTGTTTCGGATGATTTAGAGCGTATCAGAAAGGGTGATTTGGATTAAATGGGAATTTTCTTTTGAATTCGTTTAGTTGTCGATTTTTTTCTGTAAAGCTTATATTTATGGTTAAGAATTCCATTTATATGAATAACTCGTCACTCTTAAAATACATTAAATAGGGGAATTCCATACCATTTCGTTTCAAGCTACAATCTTAGCTTTATAAAATTAAGCCACACCTGAAAATAGGCCTTTCCCAATGACTTCCAAATCAACTGGTGCAAAGCGATCTGCATCCAATAGTTCTATCCTGGACGCTGGGAGCAAAATCTATGAATTCGTACACATCACTTACCATTACTGAGAATTTAGACATTGAAACACTGACAGTCAATGTCGGTCATATGAACATGACCTGGGTTAAGGTTAAGCTAGTAGTAGACTCCACTGCCATTTTTCCTTCATTGTGGACATTTAATACATTGTGTAAAGACGAATTTATTTACTTTTTAATAGTGTTTAGTGCACATATCTATGCATTTGTGATCTATTAACTTAAAGAGTAATCTAAGAATTATTTCAGAACTGAATAACAAAATAGTCTACTTAGGTTACATTCTACCCCGTTCCGCGAGGACAGGGTTAAAATCCGCGCAGCCGTCTTCGTGGGCGAAGCAAAATTTTCATATAATCCTAAAGAAACGCTTTCTGAATATGGAGGAGTACGGAATCTTGGTACGTGTCCAAATGTTTTCTCCCCGATTTATTTACTAGCCATAAAATGCTGCAAAATGATCGCAATATTCACTAAAACAGTTTATATTCGTGTACTACAACTTTACTGAGGAGTTATTTGATAACAATGCTTATTAAACTTTGTGTACGACTTAATGTTATTTCCACCAGAGGGGGTATTTGGGATTGATAGTGATTGACCGATATCATGAACCCTCATGATACGTTGATGATGATATAACTTAACATAACCTCAATTCTTTCACTAGGCACTTAAAAATTTATACCATTTTTCAAAATTGTCTTGTCGCCAAATCTTCCAGCAGATAGGTTTTCGAGATTAGCGCTATTTATAAGAGGTGTCCTCTTATTTTCCAAGATGACGTCAAAAAACGAGGTTAGAGCACAGAAAATACAGAAATTACCCCATTCCAAGAACACTTCTTTATAACATAACATCACACCTTTTATCCCCGAAGGGGTAGGCAGAGGTGCACATTATGCCACTGTACAATGTAACACCCACTTTTCACTATATATGTTATGAGTCCCATATAATAGGGGGTGAGCCTATTGCCATATACCGGGCACAATTCCAGACTCCGTGCTACTACTGAGTTTTTTTTACCCAGTAATACTTTGCCCGACCCTGAAATCGAACCCCCGACCCCTTGCCCGGCAGTCGCACTTGAGACCACTCGGCCAATGAGGCCATCACACATCTTTATGTGATCTCCATATTGCTGGTTCGGGTTTGGATGTGAAATTATGTATTGTTTAAAACAAAGGACCTACGTAAGCACAAGAGCTAGGGCAGCTAGTCTTCTGTAACTTTCATTTCAAAAGATCGGAGTGAACTCGATCGCAGTCCGCCATATCATCTGTTGTTGGAATAATCTCGACAAATGACGGGCGAGAATGCGATCGAGCTCTCTTCAAACGTTCTTATTAACAGTTACAGCAGTTAGCAGATTATTGGTTTAGCTTTAAAAAATAAATCAATAAACTATGAATATGGCACATTTTTTGACGTTGTAAGCTCGCTGTGCGATCGCGTGCAAAGTGCTGAATATTTTACTCTCTGTGACTCGTTCACGACGACCGATTTCATATTGTATTATTGTTCTTTGGTCCCTACTTTATGTAGCCACCGTGATATTTTTGATAAGCTTGTATATAAATAAGCTTTTTATATTTTCGGTTTAATCCCTTTGACCGGTTATTCTGTAAAGCCAGTCAATTTTCAATAAAAAGTAACATTAATCTACACCAAAAAAAATATTCCTGTATCATAGCAACGAAACTATAGTAACCCGAATTTCTATGGAACCATTAATCGACTTAGAATTTTACACAGTCACATGGCACGTTTCAGCGATTCCCAATCTCAATATGCTTAACTATAAAGTCTATTTTTGAATAGCAATTTATCTTGATATCACTGAAATTAAAAATTGTATTCTCTCATCTGACGCCATGACAGTTTACATATTACAGATAACAAATATTACCAGAATTCATCCATACAAAGAAGATTAACTATCAGGCAAGACATTTTGAATGGGAGCCAAAAAGCTAAAAATCTGTAAATACGAAAACGATCCTTATTGCTAAGGACGAAAGACTAACGCAAAGTAGCGTTCATTAAGAATCCCATATCTGAGCTATTTTTTATGTTAGTACAAAAAGTGTGTGGGAATAAAACTGGGATGCGGCTAGCATTTGGCTGCCAACTATATGGGGGCGTGGCTCCTTAACTGACGTCTCTGCCTACCCAACTTGCAATAGTCTAAAGTCTGAATAAGCCTCTTGAAGCATTCATATGCTTAATTGGCCTCATTCGGGTCCGACTCGTCTTTGACTAGTCAGAGCCAGCATAGGTAGGTTAGCTACAACATGTTAAGTTCTGAGAAACTGTCTTGCAAATTGGTTTTTAGGCACTTGAATATTAGAATATTCTGCTCGTCATAGCTCCTTTAATTCACCATCTTAATATAATTTAAACTATTTCTTCATATTACAACATTCGTTATTCCTAAATCGATTAAAATGGTGACCTGTTTCTGATAATATTCACGTTTAATATAAAACTTTACATTTCAGTGAACAGAGTGCACAATTTGACATAGTTTCGTCGTGGCTCGAAGATATTGTAAAGTAGGACATAACCGCTGTCATATTTGTAGGGTTTAGTAACCCTAGCGAGGATTAGCTCACGATAATCTACGTCCACTACACACGTATAAATCTAACTAGTTCACATTAAAACTACTACGACGGTTACAAGTCAAACGATTGTCCATCCACTTAAATACGAGTGAACCCAAACGCTTTAGTAAATCTGTTTCTAATTACACAGCGTCATCAAATATTCCATCGATAATATTGGCTGTACAACTTCGCTGGCAGAAGGCCACACATCATACGAACTTCATCAAATATAGAAAGCTTCCAAAAACAATAAGGAGATTGATCAATACGCGCTCCCACATGCGACCGTGTGCTGTTGACAGATGGACCCTCGCCATGTTACAACCTCCTCGAGCACCACAAGGCTCGTTATTTTCCCATTAAACCACAATATCACACCTCCCTTTATTCGGAGAGGAAATACAAAAACAATTTCCACTCGCTCGGATAACGATCCGATCGATAAAAGCGAAACTGGAATGCGATTACCATTAACAAGTACTGGCTTTACAACCTTTGTTGTCGCGATTACGTTGCACAGCCCCGAGCCCGGAGCTCTACTAGCTACTGGCTACAGGCTGCCGGGGCTGGCGAGCAGCTAATGGATGTAGGGTACTCACAGTGCAGTCGTGTGGTGTGGCGGGTTACATGGGCTCCAGGACACAGCACGGGACTTAGTTCGTGGAACAACAGATGCACCTCGTCGTGGCCACTCCGAGATCAACTTGCGTAACATTTATATAACGAGACACTGCTGGGAACAACACCGCTCGGTCAGAGGCGGACTCGCGCGCGGCCCTGGACCCTTCGTCCTGCCATTTTGGTATCGACGGGCACGGCTCGTAACAGCGGAGATGGCGATGAGGCCCGCCGGGCGCGGGTTGTGGTCGCGTTCACGTTTCGAGCGGGCTTATTGTGAAAATGGGGATGTCACAGCGGTGGTTACGTTCGGTGGGAAAATAAAAAAGTGTGAATCGGTCGGGCGGAGCGGTCGACCGGCTGCGAGAGGCACATGCCGCTCGATAGTCGGGCGCGTGCGCGAGGCGCGGCGCGCGTCACTCGCCGCACTTGCGCCGCCCGGCCCGCCTCAATGGACCGCCGCCGCCGTCGCCGCTACCTCACCGCTCCGCCGACGCAGCGCTCCGCAGCCTCTCTTTCAGTAGGCCTACTACGCCCGAGCCCGACCCACTCACGATACAAATTAAGGTCACTATAAAATCCGGTGTTATACTAGTCAATTCTCTTGGATCTGTTGCAGATATTGTACGGTTTTGTAAACTGGATTGGAAATGTGAAACCAAAAACTACAAAACATGACGGTATCGCCTAATTAAAATTTTTGAGGACAAGAAAAAAGAAGAAATAAAATTTTCAATACACTGAAATCTAAGGTCTACAATAGCAAAACAAAGCGCCAATGCTGAAAAGTAGTAATCAATCACCTGACTAACACATTCACTGAATGTCACGTATCATTTGACCAACACCCCTGAAAACAGCCCCCAAGACCGTTGAACCTTCTGCCCATCCCTGCGTCGTATATTTCTCGAGCAACTTCATTATTTGGCTATCACTCACTCGGACGCTGTCTATATCGTAATGAAGGTTTTGACAACGACCAATTTATATCGCCCGATCATTGCTATCGACATATGACATTTGAATACCAACTTAAAGGATTTTCATGTACTGATGCAATTTTGTGGCTGTTCGATATAGTCATACGACTGAAAATTGAATACCCGTACCTATTACTTCAATTCAAGGATTCTCTTTTTAAATGTCAAGTGCGGGCATTTGTATTTCGAATTAAGAATGTTTAACGATTTAGGCGCCATATTTGTTAAATGGTAAATACATCGTGTTGGGGTTGGGACTGATTTTTCTTAAGACGTCGCGAGATTTTAGTGAAAGACAAAAGAAACATATTGATACTCTCCTCGTCTTTGAGAAGTCAGTTAAAAACAAGTTAATTATTAATATTACGGTACTTACTGCTGTAGCTCTGCACTGGCACCTATGTCCATTACCATCTGTGGCTGGAAATTCTTCTTCTGCCAAATCACTTTGATCATCTTTTACAAAACTATGACGTTCATTATTAAAACCATGGCTTTTAATTATACCATCGTAATCCAAATCAATATAAAAAACACTATTTTTCTCAAAACCATTTTTATCCCCAACCAATTTTTCCCTCCAATTACTCGGCAACGTGTCAGATTCGAATGTTTTACTTTTAAATTTAAATTTCGAACATGTGAGAATTAAAACAATTCTTTTAAAAATATTTCGAATGATATTCTGTATGGCCAGCCAGTACCGTTGCATTGTTTTGTCCGTAGTTTAGTGAATGAATGACGTTGATCAAATTGGTTTATCGGATCGAATCGAATGATAAATAATTAATAAGCTCTTCTGTCTCGATTTATTGTTTTCCGGGAATCAAGTTATTGTTTTGATTTATCATTGATATTGTTTTTATTGGTTCTCGCATTCAGTTTGACCTCGACTGATAATTATAATGTTGGCTGGTATATCAGAAATAATGAAATTAGGTACTGACAGGGTAGGAAGTTTAAGCCTACACCAAATTTTTATGAAACTGTAAATTTATGCCTGTTACGATTTCTACAACTGCCTCGTTGGCCGAATGGTCGCCATTGCGACTGCCGGGCAATGGGTCTCGGGTTCGATTCCCGGGTCGGGCAAAGTACTGTGCTTATTAAAAAAATCTCAGAAGTAGCACGAAGTCCGGAATTGTGCCCGGTATATGGCAATAGGCTCACCTCCTATTACATGGGACTCATATCATAAAATAGTGAAAAGTGGGTGTTACATTGCACAGTGGCATTAAGTGCCGTAATGTACACCTCTACCTATCCCTTCGGGGATAAAAGGCGTGATGTTATGTTATGTTATAATACGTAAATTTATGAAATAATAACTTATGTAGTTACTTTTTGGAAACATCTGATATTTTTTCAACTCGTTCAATGTCTATTCAAACGAAAAACATAATAATAAAAAATATGACTATTTCTTTAATAGGACATTTAAAAAACTTCGACATGAGTCAGAGACCACGGTAAACCCCATCCAGGTTGCTGAACGATTAATCTTATGAGTCATAATCATAAGCTTGAGAACCTATTTTTGTGATTGAGGGAAACCCAGGTTTCTTGATTTACTAAAAAACCACCCTGATGGTCGGTCTCTAGTCATACTAATGAGGGGACGCCAGGCCGTCTAAATAGTCTAGCTCCAATGTATACCTAATTATGAAATCCTAAGCAATATTACACTGTCTCGTTGGCAGTGGTCGCAAATGCGATTGCATGTAAGGTAAAAAAAAATCTTTGTAGTAACAGAATCTGAGATTATGACCGGTATATGGCTATTGGCTGACCCCTTATTACATGGGACTCAACATAAATAGTGAAAAGTGGGTGTTACATTGTACAATGGTATTAAGCGCCGTAATTTGCACCTCTGCCTAGCCCATCGGGGATAAAAGGTGTGATGATATGTAAGAAATAAAAAAATGTTTTCTCTTGGTACGATATATTTATGTAATTTTGAAGGTAGTTAGGGGTAATGCTTTTTTTTGTTTTTTATTTTTTGGTCGTGTCATGCATGTCGTGGTGGTCCGGAGGCTTAAGTCGCCTGCTTCAGATGCATGAGAATGCGGGTTCGAAACCTACCAACGGCCACTACCAATGTGACTTTTTCCGAGTTATATGTACTTTCTAAGATTATCTAGACACCACTGACAAACGGTGAAGGAAAACATTGGGAGAAATCGAGGATAAGGGGTTAATTAAAAAACAAAATCGATAGTAAAATTATATTTGACTATTTACAATATGTATACCTATAAAAATATAACGATTTGGCTTGTTACGTATAAGCATAATATTGTAACACATTGATATTTAAAATGTAACAATAAAAAATAGAAATTCATAAAAAATTGCTACAGTAAAATTTGATATCATTTAATTTTTTTCTCGAACCAAGAAACCACTTGAGTATAGTTTTCAAAACTTAGCAGAAATAAGGAAACTCCTAAATATATACAAAGCAGTGCCTAATCGTATGAAAATTTACAAAAAATATGGTAACTTTTGACAAAAAGTCTCGTTTAACGTGACAAAATGTTTTTCAAAAATATTTTTTTTTCAATCACACGAACCCAAAACCACACTTTTATCGATATTCAAAACATAATTAAATACAAAAATATATGTCCAAAAATTGAGCAAAGAAAATAATTACAATACAATAAAAAACATTAATTGTCTAAAAACATACAAAATGGTCCAAAATGAGTCATTTTAATACTAAAAGCGTACAAGTATTAATCACAACCTGTAACTAAATAAAAATATACATAAAATTGAGGATATTACAAACAAAGAAATTCGTCAAAAAACCAGAGTATTAAAATCAATTTTATCTATGACTCAATTTCTACAATACGTACTTACCATTAAAAAAAATAATAAAAAAAATACAAATTTCATAATATTACGTAGGTAAATCTTACAAACTCTATCGTACACGACAGTTAGCGTTTGAAAGTTTATTCTATAAATCTTCTTTTTTTTTTACAATTGCAAAGCATTCGATTTCATAGCTAGACATTCTGTCTCTATCAAAATCCATAGCCATGAAAAAGACACAACGACATTTAAAATGTTTCTAATTACGATTTCAATAACCAACCATAATCCAATTACTTTAAGATACATTTTTGATATTCCTTCTATAGAGATTAAGTCAAAAAACATACTGAGATTTTGGATTAAAATCAGATAAGTCATTAAAAACGAAACACAATAAGACTGAAAATAAATAGGGCAGATACAACAACCACTGAGCGTCTACAAAGTCTTATACAATACTTAAAGATAAATTAATACGGTAACCAGCAGGTCAAACTACACCCTACCAATTCTTTTTTCAGCTTAATTGTTTTGATATACAGTCGAAAATCCAATAATATATTGGTGTAGGTTGACCTGCTAGCCACTAACAGAACATTCTAGAAACAAGTGAAATGAAACTCTCAGGTCCCTAGCGCGACATAGATATAACCCTATCAGTCGATGTCCAAGCTTTTAAAACTACTGGTGAAGCTAGCAAACATACCTTTACTAGGCTTCTTAATCCTCTTCTTCTCATCAGCCTTGAAGATCTCAGTCTCAGTCAGCCACTCTCTATAATTCTCCTCCATATTTTTCCTCTGTTCTTCATGTAGCTGCTTCACTGGTGGCAAAGGTCCTCCAAAGTCTTCGGGCAGGAGTTCCTTATCTACTACAGACTCTGGTCCTTCGGAAGAGAAGTTCAGCAGGTTGAGGAGATTGGAATGGATGAGCGGTTTTACAAGGCACATGACTTGGTTGATGAAGGATACTGTGTGGACCACGTGGATCTTCTTTAGACGGCAAGGGTGGGCGTTCTAGAAGAATAGAAAGATTTCGGAAATTATTATATTTAAACGAGATGTAGACTAAAAGGTACTATAGCAAAAGATTAAACAATCTCATTAGATACAACTGATGCTTGTCCTTGATCAAACTTAAGATATACAGGGAGGACTTGGGATGATGACAGGGTATGAAAATGTATGAAAATTGAAAATCTAATTAGTCCGTAATTAAAAATTTTAGACACATATTTTTTATTTTATCGTATAATAAAACAATACTTAGATAAAACGAAATTTAGAAGTGGTAAAACGTCATTTCTACATACTTATAGAATGTACCTACATAGAAGTGACGTCACGCGACATTTCAAATCAATATATCGTCGAAAGTATTCGTTTCTGTAATAAAATAAAAAATACGTGTCTATTGATTTAAAATAATCTACCAAATAATTTACTAAAATAAAAATTAGGCATCTACCCTATTTTGTAATGCCACCTGAAAGAGAAGTACTCTTATTACTTAAGATAAAATGAAGGATGAAATCTCTCTAACAAACTTCATAAATTTAATGAAAGTAAAAGAATGAACGACGATGCAATAAAAGTACACAGTGCAAACTTTGACAGATTTTAGTCGGTTCAATTACCGTGTGAGGCAAGCTAATTTTTAAATATCTCTGAATGCAGTTTTGTTTCTATTCAAAAATAAAGTAAAGTTTTCTTTGCGTAAAATTTTCTATCTTAATTATTAAGAGTAGATACTTCCCTTTTACGTGGCATTACAAAATTCCACCCTGTATATTGCCTTAACACGTTAATGGCCGCGTAGGTCACCGGTGACCTACGTTAGCCGAGGATGTGCCTTCAGCAGTTTTCTGTCGGCAGTCAAAGGCTTAAATGGAGAGGTATTGAAATGTTTTGAAGACTTAATATGAATGATTAAAATAGAAATGGAATTGTGTCCAATCATTTTTAGCACTCGGATACTTGGCAGTTGGCACCCTGATTCGCACAACTTCAAATTCAAAACAACTTAAAACGTTAGACGGTAGAAGTACCTTAAATAAAGCAAAGACTACCAACCTGAATATAATGCATAAAGGCTCTCAGCGCAGGAAGAGTCACCCTGGTCAGGTGACCGAGGCTGCAGCCCTTCATATCGAAGATGACGATGTAGCCTTCAGACAACCTGTCTTCTGACAGCTTGACATCGTTGAACATGCAGAATACACGCACGGCATCAGCGAAGTTCAGCTTACTATAGTCAAACTCTGCCAGCCGGTACAGCAGGACGTTGTAACCTTCTGCAGTCTTGTTTGGAAGGCCTACCATGTGCCTGGAAGTGGATATCATAATGAGCTATTAATATAATAAGCATAATATCCTTTAAGTCGTCAGGGAAACCGGGCCTTCGTAAGTGATTTCCATGACCTTCGACTTCGCACGTTTAATTAAAACTACGATAAAGTGGAGCGAGTTTTTAAGTACAACAACTAAATACAAATTTTTATTTTAATATCCGTCTGGTAGGTATTTTAAATCATTAGACACATATTTTTTATTTTCTTATAGAAACGAATACTTTCGACGATATATTGAATTGAAATATCGCATGACGTCACTTCTATGTACCCACATTTTATACGTAGAAATGTCGTTTTAAGAATTGTTATATTATACGATAAAATAAAAATACGTGTTTAATATTTTTTCATTACCTAACTTACGGACTAATTATATTTTTAATTATCATACCCTGTCATCAGGTATTACAAATTACAACAATTATAACTTTTATTTGGACTCCTTTATCGATCATAATAGCACAAAATATTCGCACAAATTCTACTAATATTCTAAATGGTAAAGTGTGTGATGTCGTATGTATGTGTTTGTTACTAACACGCAAAAACTACTGATCGGATTTTGATAAAATTTGGAACATGGGGTATATTATGGTCTGGGATAACATATATGCCACTTTTTATTCCTCGAGAACGCGGGGGAAACCGCTGAGAGAAGCTGTTATTTAAACTACACTGTTGGTATATTACCGGTACAATATTACACGGTTGGTGCTGTGGCTGGGCAACCGGCTGCCGCGCAACGAGTCACGGTTTCGATACCCGCACGGAACAACTCTTTGTGTGATCCACAAATTGTTGTTTCGGGTCTAGGTGTCATGTGTATGTGAACTTATATGTTTGTAAATGCACCCACGACGCAGGAGACAATCCTAGTGTTGGGCAACGTTTTTATAAAAAAAAAAAATATAATTCGTGTATTGTAAAGCTTAGTTTTATTTTCGTCGATGTAAGGCTTTTGAAAATCATGACAAGATCAGAAAAGTGAAATATATGTTACTAGCTTTTACCCGCGGCTTCGCTCGCGTCACAAAAAGATAAAAGTAGCCTATACCAATACACACAGCGCCATCTATACCAATTCTTTTGTTTTCCCTCGGGAATACCAAAATTTTCCGGGATAAAAAGTACCCTATTATTTAATCCGGACTTCTAACTATACATCTGCAAAAATTCAAAGCAATCGGTTTAGTAGTTATGGCGTGAAAGCGGAACAAACAAACAAACTCACTTTCCGATTTATAATATTTGTAAGTATTCATTCATTCACACACTAGCAACTACAAGACACCCATACAACCCTCATCTACAAGCATAAAATACCTTTAACTTACAGAGACAAATGAAACCGTTGAATAGACAGATATAATGAGGAGATAGGTACACAAGATACCAAGCTGAATGCCCATCGCTTTCTATAGTGGCTGGAAATCTGATACGGGGAGAATAGCTTTTGATTCTAACGACTGGTATGACCTTGATTACTGATTTCTATACTACATTAGCGATTGCAGCTTTAACGCTAAAGCAATTGTCAGTGTAGATCCTAAAAACAGATTTCCAAAGGGTCAGTAATTGACTACAAAGACTACTTTAAGTGTGGGAGAGCCATACTTCGGCAGTAATGGGCCGGCTCGACCGGAGTCATCCCACGGCCTCACAGAAAACCGACGTGAAGCAACGCTTGCGTTGTGTTTCGTCGTGTAAGTGAGGTTACCGGATACCCAATTACCCTCCCCTTCCCCAATCTCCCTAATTCCTGAATCCCCAACGATACTCAAACTCCTAATTCCCCAAAAGGCCGGTAACGCACTTGTAACGCCTCTGGTGTTCCAGGTGTCCATGGGCGACGCCGATTGCTTACCATCAGGTGATTCGTCAGCTCGTTTACTAGATAAGCTATAAAAAAAACGATACTAGTGTTAACATCACACTAAAGAACACACTTCATCAAAACGATACTAGTTCGGCTGATCCAGTAGGGTTAGTGTAAGATAATAAGATTATAATAGTTAGGTAACAATATAAAGTACTGTGTGTAGTGATATTAATGGTTGGCGTAGCCTGTAACATCTTTATAACAATTATTTGACCATCAAAACAATGTACCTGTAATATGACAAGGGCACAGAGACAAGTAAGTCAGTGGAAAAATATAATTTATTTATTAAAAAAAATATCTCAGTAGTAGCACGGAGTCTGGAGTTGTGCCCGGTATATGGCGATAGGCTCACCCCCTATTACATGGGACTCATAACATAAATAGTGAAAAGTGGGTGTACAGTAACGTTAAGTGCCGTAATGTGCACCTCTGCCTACCCCTTCGGGGATAAAAGTGATGTTATGTTATGTAAAATAAAAACGATATTAGTCAGCGCTGCACAAATTATTCGTATGGGTTCAAATCAGCGCTGACTTCATGCTGATGTATACATTTCAAATTAATTTACATTGTTTTTTTTTTGGGTCAATGCTGCGTTTCGGAGTCAGTTACTGACCCTATGTAAATCTGCCTTAACTTATAATTAGGGAGACATATAGCAGATATAATTGCCACAGATGTATTCGATCTTAGCCACTATTAAAACATTTTTGGGAATGGTCAAAAAACAGACTAAAGTACCTACTGAAGAAATCACACATGATATTTTCATGCCTTTTATCGTCGAAGGGGAAGACAGAGGTGCACATTACGGCACTCAATGTCACTTTACAATGTACCCACTTTTCACTAATTATTTTATGAGTCCCATGTAATACGGGGTGAGCGGATTGCCATATACCGAGCACAATTCCAGAATCCGTGCTACTACTGAGAATTTAATAATAAAACCCAGTAATTCTTTGCACGACCCAGGAATCGAAACCCTTACAGTAGTCGCACTTGCGACCACTCGGCCAACGAGGCATTGTAAAATCTATCAATAAAACAACGAAACATCAAACAAAATTACGTAAACTATATTGTATGTTAATTTCAAAGTACACGATATGACCTGTATTGTTATACTATTAAATTACTGACGTAATAGGCACTGGTACTTGAACTAAGTAAGTCACTTAACCAATTGCAATATATTATCCACGGTAGTGCACTCACTGACCAAATTACTGGACAATGTAGAACGCAAATGTTTAGTTACTTCATTAAACTAATTAAAACTTAATTTAAATATTCGCTAGATGTTTAGACAGAACTTTCTGTTTATGCGATTTCTCTTAGCAGTCTGCTCTTACATTATTATAGTCTATATTATTCTGAAACTCTGAAAATTCAGCCCTTTACCTGGCTTATCCCATAACAAGAAATCAAAAACCCATTTATTTTAGGTACATATATATATCATCATCAACAGCCTATAAATGCCCACTGCTGAGCAAAGCCTCTTCTCACACGGAAAAGGTTTGAGCATTAATCACTATCTATTTTGCAGCATGGGTTCACTTAAAGTCAAAACAGAAGAATTTATAAAGAAAGTGTGGGAGAGCCATGCTTCGGCACGAATGGGCCGGCTCGACCGGAGTGATACCACGGCCTTACAGAAAACCGACGTGAAGCAATGCTTGCGTTATGTTTCGTCGTGTGAGTGAGGTTACCGGAGACCCAATACCTAAATCCCCAACGATCCTCAAACTCCTAATCCCCAAAAGGCCGGTAACGCACTTGTAACGCCTCTGGTGTTCCAGGTGTCCATGTGCGATACCGATTGCTTACCATCAGGTGATTCGCCTGCTCGTTTACCGGCTTATGCCATAAAAAAGGAAACTTGGAAAACAAAAGGAATAAGAACGAATGACTTACGTGATATCCAAAATAGCTTTGTTCTTCGGTCCAAAGGGGTCGCGGTTGGTGAACAGGTCTGGAGTGTTTGCTCTCAAGGTGAAGTAGCATTCTATGGTGTCTTTAGTCTCTTTGACCTTGTAGTAGTTGGAGTGCAGGAACAGGATGACGTACTCATCAGAAATATGGGGCAGATGCGGCTGACTTTTCATCCTGGAAATTAGAAGATAGATTTTGTAAGCACTTTGTCGGTTTTTGTCGTATTTTTAAAGTTTTATTGCTACAGATATTTTGATTATTCAGTCTTCTTCTCAGTCATATTACTCTTGAATGAGAGTCGAGAAGAAATTAACACACCGAGGAAGTCGATAACCACACTGGTAGTGTCTAATACCTCTAAATACGATTGCTTCCTTTCAATTTTTTAAATTAAACTTATAACTTTACAGCTTCTCTGAGAGCACTAACTAAGATATTTGGCGACAAAGTCAAAGGCAAAGTCAAAAAATTTCAATTAGACCAGGAAGGCACTTTCGAACGACATAATTATGTGTCCCTTTTATGAAGTTAATTATGTCATACAATAAACAACTGACTATGTCATTGGCCTAGTGGTCGCAAGTGCGACTGCTGGGCAAGGGGTCTCGGGTTCGACTTCCGGGTCGAGCAAAGTACATATTACTGGGTTTTTAAATAATTCTCAGTAGTAACACGGAGTCTGGAATTGTGCCCGGTATGTGATAATAAGCTCACCCCCTATTACAATACATGGGACTCATAGGTAACATAAATAGTGATAAAAAACCGACTTCAAAAAAACCAAAAACTAATAACAAACAAAAAGTCAAAACTAAAAAGCAAAAAATAACTATGATTAGTACTGATAGATTACCCGCCCACTGATAGGTAAGAAGTCGGTGCCATAAGTTCCATACAAAATTATTCATTAAAACCTTAATAGGTACCTAATTCACATTTGTGTAGACATTAAGTTATATCATTATGATATGATCTTATGGCACCGACTTCTAACCTATCAGTGGGTGGGTAATCTATCAGTACTAATCATAGTTATTTTTTGCTTTTTAGTTTTGACTTTTTGTTTGTTATTAGTTTTTGGTTTTTTTGAAGTCGGTTTTTTAAACGCAGTTTTTATTTTATTATTTTATCATTTTCAGTGTAAAGCTACATAATTATACGCGTTTTGTTACTTATAATCTACATAGGTGCAAAGTTCTAATCAATACAAATTAATCAAGCCCAAACACAAGGTAGTTACTGTATACCGTTAAGGAGTTCCTTTAACAATTACACTTCTTCATCATCAGATCCTTAACGACAGCCCTACTCTATTTAGGTGTAAAGTCCTCATCAATCCAAATTAATCAAGCCCAAACTCAAGGTAGTTAATATAAACCGCTGAGGAGTTCCCTCGACTGCCTGTTGGCTCCCTCATCAGGTCAACTCCAGACCCTTATCAAATTGTAGTGTTTCAAAATCCTAATTGAAAAACATAATAGACGCATTACTCGCCCATAGAATTTTCGAAAGTTCCCCTCGGTTTCCCTAGGATCCCATCATCAGATCCTGACCTCATGGAAATGGGACCATCTCGGGAGTATACCCTTTCAAACAAAACAAGAATTTTGGAAATCGGTTCACAAATGGCGGAGTACTGCGCGAACAAACAAATAAAAAAAAAAAAACAATCAGCCGAACATAGTACCTCCTCCTTTTTTTGAAGTCGGTAAAAAGTGGGTGTTACATTGTACTGAGACGTAATGTCTTCGGGATAACAGGCGTGATTTTATGTAAACAATTAGATGAGAGAGAAAAAGAGAAATAAGCAAGCAGGTACCAGGTTAAAAAGTACTTCACTGGTACTCTAGACATAGTTAAGTGAAATCTCTTTGACCACCAAGAAGGCTGTACAAAGCTTAATGATATACGACTGTCTAGACTAACAAAGCGATAGAATTTCCTATTCTAGTACTTAAGATAAAGATGTTTGCTTTTGTCCCGTTTCATTTACTTATATACCCATCAAAATGTCTCTTATGGGGTCATGGGAACACGCCTTATGTAATAATAAGCTTCTGAACGCGTCTTCACCCGCATTCTTGTATGGGATAATAAGCAGCCAAGTTGTCTTTCCAGACTATAATGTACCCTTGTTCCAAATCGCAAGATGATCCCTTCATTTAACTGTTTTGTCGTTATTGAGTAACAAACCAAAAAACAAATATGGTACTTCGCATTTATAATATTATAGTAGGCAGGGGCGTAGCTAGCGCCGTATCTGTCGTATCAATTATATGGGGCCCCCGGACTACGGGGCCCCCAACGTGTGTAAGCGAAAACATAAAAACTTCTCAATTTATATTTTATTTCAGTAATCACAAAATGCATACGTTCAAAGGTTGGCAGAAACAATGGAAAAACTAAAGTACCTAATCATTGTCCGATTATTTGGGCAGAGGAGGTATTTTATGTAAAACAATCTGAGAAATTTTTACCTTTCATAAGGCCCCCAAACAAATTTTTATACGGGACCCGGGGCCAAGATACACTACGCCTCTGTTAGTTGGACGTGTGTTTTGAGTTGAACCAGTTATGTATTTCATTAATTAAATTCTATGCTGTATGGTGATAGCAGAGAATAACTTGCCCTTCTGCCAGGCATGATCTATGACAATTGGGTAGTTTCTGAGTCAAAAATAAATCATTTTGATTTTTCAGTCCAATTAAATGTTGAAAAATAGTTACACTTTCATTCATTGATTTGACGATATAGGTACCTAATTTTCGATTTATTCTAGCCTTTTTTTAGATATAAGTGTATCATTTGATGCGAAAATATGATGACGTCATAAGATGGTATTACGTACAAAATTCATAGAACAGTAGGTATCGTTTTTGACTATTGAATTGTTGGTTGCAACTACCGTATTCCTGTAGAGGAGGCGCCGGCATACCAGTGGACTTTCACGGATTATTTAATGATAATGATGATCATGATGACATTACTACCTAGTTACTAGTAGTACCTCTATAGCTTTGTCCAATGAATAAACTCGAGGTACGCGTAAGTAAATTCATGAACTAATTAAAATACGACACGTGTACTAAACAATGTTACATTTAACATAAAAAAAAATCTATAAAAAACCGACATTGTAAATTGTAAAAGCGCATAATAAAACCGACAATAGACAACAACCATGAACTGTTAGCAAACAGGTGAAATAGGGCCGCCATTTTGTAACCGCATTGTCATTAAAAAAAGCGAGGGCAATGGCATGTACCTATACAGCCTAGTTATTAGAAGTCGATTGCAAGTTGATTACTCTGCGTCGGTAGCGTCACGACGTACATACATACATAAATAAGTATTTGTATAAATAATAAATATATTATTTTGTAATAAAAAGATTGGGTTCGATTCCAGGGAATAATTTTAGATAATATGTATAATATCTGGATCTAAATCTATGTGGCTAATGTCCCTCTTTGTGTGATCCACAAATTGTTGTTTCCGGTCTGGGTGTCATGTGTATGTGAACCTTTGTGTGAATTCAATTCATGTGAATGTGAAGACATAGGAGAAAATCCTAGTTTGGGGCAAGGTTTTTTTTTTAATTTATAGACAATCTATACAAGATCTTAAGATCATCTGGGCATCGTAGGATATACAACCACATAGCTAACATATTCATTTTTCTGGACAATCACAGCAGTCTAATAATATCCCGTAAAGCCAATCCTTAAATGAAAAATATTAAATATGGGTTGACAATTTAAGCTACTTGTATAAACTGACTATCTACACACATCCACCAAACGAAAGGCCCAAAACATTTCACATCACGCTTCAATAGGCATCGCATTCGGAACGCGATTGCATGCCCACAATTCTTATTAGGCACGTTCGTTCCCTTTAACCGGCCACGCGATTCCTTATATCCAGCACACTGAAAAAATGTGCTGGTAATACTCTGAACTAGTTTTCCAATTGATTGTGAACTTGTTTTAACATGTTTTTTTAAAGAAAACGTTGCCCCACACCAGTCTTTTCTCTTGTGTCGTGGGTTCGTTTACAAGTTCACATAAGGGGGCGTTATTAATTACGTGAGATGTTTTTTTTAATTCTCTGTCCCTCCCTCCCCCTTGGTGAGATTTTGTGAGATTTTATTCGACACCCTCCCCCATCCCCCAATCCCACGTGAGATTTTTCTAAATGTTGATTTTTCACGTAAGCATGTTGAATTGTTATTACAAAAAGAAAAAAATCCATGTACTTACAATTACAATTTAAGTGTGGGAGAGCCATGCTTCGGCACGAATGGGCCGGCTCGACCGGAGTGATACCACGGCCTCACAGAAAACCGACGTGAAGCAACCCTTGCATTGTGTTTCGTCGCGTGAGTGAGGTTACCGGAGGCCCAATTTCCCTCCCCTTCCCCAATCTCCCCAATCCCTGAATCCCCAACAATCCTCAAACTCCTAATCCACAAATAGCCGGTAACGCACTTGTAACGCCTCTGGTGTTCCAGGTGTCCATGGGCGACGCCGATTGCTTTCCATCAGGTGATCCGTCTGCTCGTTTACCGGCATATGCCATAAAAAAAAAAAAAAAAAAAATTAAATCTTAGGCATATGCAATCTGGAATAAATGAATATCAGAAAAAAAAATACGTTATATTTGCCGAGACCCCCTCTCTCCAACGTAAGATTAGATGAGATTTGAGTCTACCCCCTTCCCCCCCTTAAACATCTCACGTAATTTATGGATGCCCCCTAAGCATGACCTCCAGACCCGGAACAACAATTTGTGGATCACACAAAGAGTTAGTTGTTCCGTGCGCGAATCGAACCCGCGACATGTTGGGCGGCAACCGGTTTCACAACCAGTGCACCAACAGTACGGCATGTTACTTTGCTTGCATCAATATTTATATGATTACAATTTAGTCTAGATTCTATTGAAGTGTTATAATCGAAGTCATTTTTAAGTGTTTTCCAAGGAGAGTCGAGCAAGAGCAAAGAAAGAGACTTCCCTGTCTAAAATATTTATTTTAATATACAAAGCTTTTAAGACTATTTATAAAAATAAACGACTTCGTGTAGGTCTACAAATGCAATTATATATTAAGAGCTCTTTTGTGAATTGTCTTTGATTTGAAATCCAAGATAGAATAACATGCTGAGAGAATCTAAGTATAATCTGAGTTAAGACACAGATTATAAATAAAGAGTGAGTAAGTAGCCTTAGCTACTCAAGAGTCCTACAGAGACCGTCACATTAACTCGTCGAGTACCGGTTTTGTAGACACAATTATAGAACAATAGGTTGCGGTCACCGGTGGACCGCTTGGTGTTTGACAGTTTAAATAAAGTAGAACTACAATAAAAACCATGTAAACCACTCATTGTGGGCCATACCGTCATAGTACAACCATAAGCACATCAAACTACCCCTATTCCATCAAAATTATTCAATTCATTTTCAACTTAATATCAATTCGCTAAGATCGAAAATCCATTGAAAAAATCACAGATTGGGGTAGCTTGATGAGCGGACTGTATTGTTGGTAGTTGGAATCCTGCCCTACATACCTGAGAGGACTTGTCGAGGCATTAACATATTATTGAGTGCCTGCACGAATGCGGTGCTACATCATTTAATGTACGTATACCTATTTATATACGCATAGACTCTTTCGCGGAGCTAGCGCCCTCTACTGATGCGATTGTTGGATGTCAAAACTTGTCAAAAGCTAATACTTTTTCGAAATTTGCAACATTTTTATATGAATGTGGAATTTGATGGTTCAGGAGAGTAAAGACAGAAGAAAGAAAGAAAGAAAGAAAAGATGACGTAATCTCGTACCACATAAAGATATCTTTTGTGTGTAACTGACAATACCTTTTGTTTTTCGATAGCTCTCTTCTTCACTTTTGTTTAATTGGAGAGAAGAGTAAAAAGAAATTACCAATTTTTTATTCCAAACTTAAGTAGTCATCAATGAATTAACGGGAGTATAGTTATTTGTTCGCGTGGAATAGTGACTTCCAACAGATTTTTGGTTTTACCCACATAGTTCCCGAATTCCCGATCTCGCGGGATTTTTGGAAAGTTCCCGCTCCCACGGGATTTTCGGGATAAAAACTATCCTATATCCTTTGTCAAGTTCCAAACTGTATCTGTACCAAATTTACACAAATTGAGTCAGTAGTTTAGGCGTGAAGAAATCCAGAAAGACAGAGTTACATTCGAATTTATAATATTAGTTTGGATACCACAGTACACATGGAAACTAACAGTACAAAAACGTCAATTACATAAAATATTATATTAAATAATTTCCCAGTAGGTATAAAGTACAAACCATTGAATAAAACCGGAACATAAGAAATTAACATAGAGAAATTATTTCGGCCATAAATCAAGAGCTTTACTGTCGCACCTAGTCATGGGAAAAGCGACCTTACTAACACACTTTCTTCAAATAATATTACGCATTATTGTTTGAATTATACCTAGACGCGAGTTATGACATAATGCTATTACGTGAACTACACACGGCCTTGTGAAGGGTCTGGTTTAAAAACTGGTTGAACACGTTCTTTATATCGTAGCACAGGGTCAGAAGACATCTTAAAGACAAGTGAAACATAGTTTTTTTTTTAAGGGGGAAAATTATCGAATGACTGCTCCCGCCTGGGTGAGGCGCGAGGGAGTGTCAGACTCTTACTGACTAAAAACCACCCCGTTCCTTCGCCTGCACGTCGAGTCGGAGCCCGGTTACCCGTTAGGTTCTCCGCGACTCCGAATCGGCATCGGCCGTATTGGGCCCCATCTGTGGTGGTCTGATGGCTCTTTGAGGCGCACGCGGAACGCGACGCGCCGTACGCTCGGGAAGTGAAACATAGTATAGAGATGAAATCAATGACATATACATACAACGCTTTTGGTAGACAACAGGTTTAATAATATGTCTTTTTATTGAGACAAGCCCGCCACAATCTCCCAAAACCGCTGCAACTCCTGTAAGCCGGGATCTACAATAGATACAACCATAAAAAACACCGGAACACTGAAGTCTAGCGCGTCTCCCAGGGACATGAGTAACTGTCTTGGAAATTTTGGAGTCTTAATAATATGTCTTATAGATTAGTCAGTCTTACTAAGACTAGCCAATAGGGTAGACAGTGTATGAAAATTAAAATGTAATTAGTCCGTCTGTTAGATATTGAAGAAATATTAGACATAATTATTTTGTTTTGTGGTACCTATAAGAAAACAATACTTAGATAAATCGAAAGAGTTAAGTTTCGGAGCTCGTTACGTCACGCTACCCTATAAAATGTGTCGCGGAGAACCTAACGGGTAACCGGGGCTCCGGCTCGACGTGCAGGAGAAGGAACGGGGTGGTTTTTAGTCAGTAAGAGTCTGACACTCCCTCCCGCCTCAACCGGGCGGGAGCAGTCATTCGATGATTTTCCCCCATTAAAAAAAAAACCCTATAAAATGTAGTAAATCGTGACGTCACACGATATTTCAAATCAATACATCGTCGAAAGTATTTAATTTTGTAAGAAAAGAAAAAAACACGTACCATTTGATGGTAAAGGATCGAACATTAGAAGAGTTACAAACTTACAAGCGTGTGACTGGCCTAAAAAGGAATAGGTACATTATTTCCTTGAGGCTTTGAAGGTCTTTGATTGAGTCAAATCAGTCAGAATTGAGTCTTGACAGAAATCTAAATGTCGATATTTTCAGAGAACCAAATGTGTTACAACGCACTCGTCCTCCTCTAGTACGTAGCGTAGTGTCAGTGACCATGGGCGGCGCTGATTGCACTCATTTGTTTTTTCTTTGTTTTTAAAATAAATGTTGCCCTACACTAGGATTTTCTCCTATGTCGTGGGTGCGTTTACAAACATACAAGTTCACATACACATCATACCCAGATCCGGAATAATCTATGGATCACACTGCTTCTCTTTGTGTGATCCACAAATTGTTGCTCGATAGGGGATCATACCGGCTGGCAGTCGGTTGCCCGGCGACCGCACAACGGTGCAGTCAAATTTACCTATGGTTTCTCTTATTTAAGTATAATTAACAGTAATATATCAGGTGCTCACCATTCCCTGATCTGCTGTATCTCATCCTCGTGGCCCTCAGGCAAGGGTTTCAGTCCTCGAAGGAAGGGGTGCAGGTACTTTGTAGCTGACATCCTCGATCGCTCGCTCTGGAAAAATAAATAAAATTGTATATTAAACTCTCAGCGCATAAAAACTTGAACAATGCCATGTGGTTGGCCTTCAGGTACTTTGGATATTTGTCTCTTTATAGAAATCTAACAAATAAACAGTAGCGATCATTATACTACTATATAAGGTGTAACAAAAATAGTGCACAATATTTTAGTAGGTCAATTACTAGTATGTGATAAACATCATTTTTTTATGAAAATATTTTATAAAAACTTATCAATTATTTTTAATAATTCAATTATTCATTTATCATTTTCATTGCTTTTTATGCCATCCTGCAATATGTACCTATTCCTATGTACCTATTCGAAAAGCTCGGTCGTTGACCCGTAAGATAAACGTCCGCGCGCATCCATACGGCTGGCGTTATGCGTAAAAACACAACAAAAAATTTTGCATATGTGATGATAAATTTAATTAAACATGTTGTTGTTTAGATTTTTTTTAGGTAAACATAATGCTTATCATGTACTATATCACCTGTTAAAATATTGTGCACTATTTTTGTTAGACCTTATATAGCTTTTAACAAAGTCATAGTTATCTTCTGTAAGCATTGGTCAGTTCAGTAGCCAACCAATGGTTACAGTCTCTGTATTATATCAATTTTTACTTTCTTACATACTACCTAAATAGCTTTGTTGATTGTACATAGACACCAGGGGCGTAGCTAGCGCCGTATCTGCCGCATCAATTGTACGGGGCCCCCGGACTACAGGGCCCCAACGTGCCTAAGCAAGAATTAATAAAAACTTTCCATTTTTTATTCATTTCAGTAATCACAAAAGTCAAAACAAAAGATTTTTTCCGACGTAAAGCATGCGTTCAAAGGTTGGCAAAAACTTAAGAAAAAAGTAATTAAGGTCCGCTAATTAGGGCAGAGGGAGTTACCTCAAAAGATTTTCGATGTTCAAACAAATTATAAGTATTTAATGTAAAAAAGAATCTCTTGTGAGAAATGTATACCCTTCAAGGGCCCCTAAACAAATTCTGATACGGGGCAAGGCACGCAACGCCACTGATAGACACTCGAAATCATTACACCTACGATATATAACACATTTAGGTAACTTAATTAAAATATATTCGCTTGCACGTTCGTTGTGTTTTTTTTTAAATTCAAAATAATGTAATATTATTTGCATATTATTTTTATTATAAGAAAAATAACAAGCTTGAACCTTTATTACAATCTTATTTTTCGACTCAAAAACCTTCGATAAAGCACTCAATTTTAAACGAGATAAGGTTTGTTTGTGAATGCAAATTTGTTTTTATTTTTCACTCGTCTTTTTAAGGCTATCAAGGCAATCGTTCTCATACTTCATGCAGGTAAAATTAAGATAAAATAAACAATTTGGTCCCAAAACAATGACTTCCTCAATCTTTATATTAATATTTAAGATTGTTTATTTTAACTCTGTCAAATAGTCCTGATGATCCTGAATCTTTTAATTTGCAACTTCCATTCCTCTAATGCCCAGCTGCCAACTTTAAGGAAGTGACTTTCCATAAATGAATGGAAAACTATTTATGTTGAAGAGGCCCTTAGGACAAGATAGTTACGGGCTGTTGATGTTTAATATAACAACGATGAGGATATTTTTTTGATGTCTAGCTAAATAGTCTAGCTAGATATAACGTTTAAACTAATTGCGACCATTTAGAAGCAGAAACTAAAGATCGCCTCCTACTACGAACCTTAACGCTAGGCGTTCCTATGATTAGATCACTATGGCTCCTAATTAATCAGACTAGAATCAGAAACTATTACCTGTTGCTATGAAACTATAACGACTAGGCAAGTAGAGGCAAACTTAAGAAGAAATATATGCCTTACTACTGGAGATTCTCACTTAAAATTTGTAATATCTATATTAATAATTTCTTCAAGGGGTACCTACGGTAGACTCGACCGAAACATTACCTGAATAACAAAACATAAAAAATATCGATTTCGAGTCGACAACATATATCCGCAAAATTCAGATTACGGAGATTATTTCGTTTTATTAATTCATTTTAAAGACACTGACAATAAACGTTCCGTTTCATACTAGCTCTCAAATACGCCTCGCCAATCAACACGTTGTCGCGTCAAAAAAGTATAAATTAATAAGAAATATGAATAATTTCACGCGAACGAAGTCGCGGGTAACAGCTAGTTACCAGTATAAAACGGAAAGACGTGTCCATGAAATGTAATAATCAATTTTAATTATCTTGAAATATTAAGAGGCAATGATGATAAACGGCCAATTGATCAATCATCATTGACTACATAAATAATAATAGCTAACATTCAAAATTTGTGTGTATTGGTTGCGTTTTTACGCCAAAACTGCTGTATAGATACACTCATTAACTGATGATAGATGAACCAAATGATTTTGACTATGACTTTGAGACTTTTATAAATTAAAGTCAGGATATACGTGAATTGCTAACCGGCTGTAATGCAAGTAAAGTTGCGAGCAAAGGTTAGCTTTAGGGCCCTCGCCCACGACGACTTTTTGTAGCCATGCAACAGCGATTTTTTGGAGGACTTAACGGGTTATCGGGGCTCCGGGTCGAAATGCAGGAGTAGGAACGGTGTGGTTTTTAGTCAGTAAGAGTCTGATACGCCTTCTCGCCTAACCCTAGGCGGGACTCATAGGATGAGTTCCCATCCTAAAAAAAAAATTTAAAAAAGCACAAATATCGAGAACATCTCATCCGATTTCGCTAATTATATTTTTGTTGTGTATTTTATGTAAGAAGTCTATATATACATATACAAGGTGTTGTTATGAGAAGGTTCTTATGACAGAAAAATGTCCTGAAAATCCTACGGGAACAGGAGAAAACGGGATTGCGCGTACGAAGTCGCGGGCAGAAGTAATTTAATAAAAATGCATAGCATGCATTTTTTTAATTACCACGCGAATCGAGAATCGCGGTGTCCGATAGTTATTGATATAATACCCTTAGTCTATCTCTGCCAACCACTACGCAAAACACAAACAATCGCAATATTAAAGTAAGCTGCGACAGGCATATTTCAGTGCATATACCACCGAGAGTGCTTTAATATGTCTGTTTTTAGTACCAACATACTGTATGTGTCTATTTTCGTATTTATGATTTTGTTACTAACACAGTGGACCTTTGATGTTTTAAATAAACATATGATTATGATTATTTAATAGATTCCCAAGCAAACAAATTAAAATACGATAAATCATACATAGGCATTTTAAATATTCATAGATCGCATGTACATAATTATGTAATCATACATCCATATACATAGTTAGGTATGTGTAGTTAGGTAAATGATACTGCTCATATTGCAATAGTTATTAGAATCATTAAATTATAGAAATTCAACCTTCAGTACATGATGGATACGCGAGTCAGGATGTAACTGTGTTTCGTGATTTGACTTAATAAGCCACAACATGCTGTTTGTTGGCCGAGTAGTCGCAAGTGCGACTGCCAGATAAGAGGTCTCGGGTTCGATTCCTGGGTAGGGCAAAGTATAATTTATTTATTTATTTCTTCTTTACCAAAGACAACAGTGAATGGCGGACTTAATGCCTTAACGCATTCTCTGACAGTCAACCATAGGGAAGTGCAGAGAAATGAAGCGGTTGAAGCCATTATTACATATTACTAAGTTTAAAAAAAACTCAGTATACAGGCCGATATATGGCAATAGGCTCACCCCCTATTCCATGGGACTCATAATATAAATAGTGAAAATTGGGTGTTACATTGTACAGTGGCATTAAGTGCCGTAATGTGCACCTCTGTCTACGGGGATAAAAGGCGTGATGTTATGTCATATGTGCCATAACAGCGCTGTGGTTCGAAACTAGTAGAGCTTTTCTCAGTATATTCACGTGAGTAACCCGCGATTTTTAGTTAGTTTTAAATGATAACAGATTTTTGTAATTCTTCTTAATTTTGGCAGTTTTATAAGTTGTTCCTGAAAAAATTGTCCCTGTTTCGTGAGTCATTGTTATAATTACACTGGCAACACAGGTTGGTTCTATCGATTTCCTGTTAAAATAGGATGCTTAGTTTTTGTACTTGCCATCACATTTTGTTTATTTTTTTTTTTCGGTTTCTAGTTAGTACAAGGTAGTCATAGATTGTTTTTATTATGCATTAAATCTAAAGACTCATATTAAGTTTAGTTTTTACTTATGGTTACAGAGTTTTTGCTAAAATTTGAAAATCCCGGACGATCATCATACAGATAAGTAATAGATATAAGAACTGCAAATAAATGTACTGCACAAAAAATATCTTTGTAATTTTTTGTCTATGTCTATTTATTATTAATAGATTATTGTACATCATGCAGAAGTTACTTAAGACTCTTCCGTGAAGTTCCGTGTCTATGACAAGACTAAAACTCTCAAATCCGATCATCAATCATTAATAGATACTTATTAAAGAACATCATTGCGTTGCATTTAAAAATGAACTATGCCCCACTTAAGAAGGCAATGTTAACAACTATAGAAAAACCCAAATTAATAAGTCCATGTTACGTCCATGTATAATTTTGTACAAATTCCAAAATTTATGACCCATTTGTGTATTGAAACACCATATGTATAACCCGTTAGAGGGGCTTAGAGCATCTAACAGCCATTAACACAACCAGAACTAATCTTTAATCAAAAAAACAGTTATAGTGACCGTACGTCACGTTACTGGCCATATTTTCTTTCACACAAGGAATGTAGCACAGGCAAATAATCCACACATTGCAGACGCAATCAAAACTAGTTATTGCATACGGTCAGGTGATCAGGTCGAACGGTTACCTGCTAACCAGTGCTGAAAGCAACGTAACTACTATCACGGAATTCACTAATTGCAAACCTAATTAGGTGAAATTCGGCTGTACGCAATCCTTCCTTAGTCTAACAAGAAAAGTTATGCGGATTGTTTATTCTTTTTTTTTAGTGAGCTGGCTGGC